CAAAGAGTGGTCATTGTGTGCATGTGACAACAATATCACAAATTCTCCACAAATGTGGCTTGTATGGGAGGGGTGCATGAAAAAAGCCAGTCCTCAAGAAAGGCCACATGCAGTCAAAACTGAGCTTTGCCAAAACACATCTTGGTGATTCTGAGGCAGATGAGACTAAAATTGAATTATTTGGCCTCAAAACCAAATGATATGTCTGGCGGAAATCCAATACAGCTCCCCATCCAAATAACACCATTCCTACAGTAAAGCATGGAGGTGGTGATGTCCTGTTATGCGGTGTTTCTCTGCAGCAGCGACTGGAGCACTTGTCACGATAAAAGGAAAAATGGATGGGGCAAAATACCATCAAATTCTTGAAGAAAATCTGCTGCCCTCTGCCAGACAGTTGTCAATGGGAAGAAGGGTTACCTTCCAACATGACAATGACCCAAAGCATAAAGCAAAACTGACCACACTGTGGTTGAAGGAGAAAAAGGTGAATGTCCTTGCATGGCCTAGTCAGAGCCCAGACTTAAATCCCATTGAAAATCTGTGGAATGACTTGAAGACTGCAGTCCACAAACACTCACCATTAAATTTAACTGAACTTGAGCAGTTCTGCAAAGAAGAGTGCAAAGTTAGTAAAGACATCCCAACAGTCTAAAGGCTGTCATTAAAGTAAAAGGTGGTTCAACAGAATGCTGACACAAGGTGGTGATACTTTTTCCAACTCAGTGAATCTGTTTTTTTTTTTCTAACAGGTTACCGTTATATCTTTCACTTGGATGTTATAAGTTGCACTGAGTAAATACAGCTGGATAAAACAAAAACTGTGCCCGTCTTCATTTCAGGCTGCAAAGCAACAAAATGTGATTATTATAAAGGGGGGTGATTCTTTTCTATACCCACTGTATAGACAATATTCAACTCCTAATTTAAATTAATATAAATATGTACATATAAATACAAGCTTTAGAATTTATATAAAAAAGATTGTTTCCTTTTAAGTTCTTTTTGAACCTATATAAATTAAATTCAGTGTTATTGTGCGATTGGCTGTTAGCTGCATTCTTGAGGTAATCACAAACTCTGGACCACACACTGAGTTGACAGAGAGCATTTATAGCGAGCGTTTTTGGTAATCCACAGAACCTAATCTAAACAGTTTTGAATTTGTTGGGTTTTGTCAACTCTAAACCTGCTCTGAAACTGAAACTGTTCAACTAGTTTTGTTTAAGAGGCCACTTGTGTCATTCTGTTTTGCCTGTGTATTATTCACAGGAATATTTACCTTTTAAGTTTAAAGTTAACCTTTAAGTTTAAAATATTGTCTTTTTTCTTTCCACCCAGGAATGTGGGGACAGTGGATCCATCCAGTTTCATCACTGGACATTACAGAGTTCTACATAAACCAAAAAAGTGGTATCAGTGTGTTTTTTATCACCTTTTGGACATTGCCGTAGAGAATGCGTTCATTTTGCATGAACTGGCGGCCAAGAGAAAAAAACAAAAAACTCTGACACGGAAGACATTCTTCGAGACGCTTGTTTTAGAGCTTACAGAAATGGATGCTGAGAACAGGTTTGAATCTGCATCAGTTTCCTCTGCTCCCATCTCGTCTTCTCCTTCCGCTCCTGTTTCAGCTCCTCCCTCATCTCCTGAATCATCACTTCCTGAAGGAACCCACAGGCCCAAGCACTTCAAGCCGGACAGTGCTCTCGGTAGGCGCAAGTGCAAGCTCTGCCACCTGAAAACTCCAGTCATGTGTGTGACTTGTGAAGTGCCATTGTGCTTTCAACCCAAGCGTGACTGTTTTAATCAGTGGCATGAATATAAGGTTTTTATTCATGATGGGTTTAAATTTGAATATACGTAAATATGTTTGGTTTACCCTGCTTCATTTCCTGACACTTATTTGAATATTTAAGTAAAAGTTTTGTTCTAAAATGGAAACAAGTATGGGTAATATTTCTAATATCATCTGCTTTTACAGTCAGTGCTGCTAACGCGTCTACTTTTGCCAAAGAATATGTGGAACAATCAATGGAGGACATAAAGGTCTTGTGGAATTATGTCAATGTCAGTGCTGCATTACCTTTCAAACGTTTGGGGCTGATAATTTTTCACAAAGGCTGCATTTATTTGATTAAAAAATACTGTAAAACAGTAATTTCTTCAGTGTTGCATAATCCTTCAGAAATCATTCTAATATAATTAAGTCACTGCATCAGCAGCATGCAGGCACATTTAACACTCTTTTGCCAAGATGTTTGGTTCTGTTGGGTTTTTTTTTTTGCCAAACTCGTTTTCACATTTGTGTGACCCTCAGTCTGTTGCATGCTCAAGTGGAAATCTTCTGTGGTTTCCTTCCTGACTGAGAATGAAAGATAATTTTGATGAAATTAGTCAAAAATGATCATGTCAACATGTAGAGGAGTCTAAACAAACCCTTTCAAGGGAACTCTATTAAAAAAAAAATACTCAAAAAGAAATAGATAAAAAATAAATCTGAATAAATCTATAGTTTTAGATCTATTTTGTATATATCAGGGTGTCCGCGGGTCCTTAAAAAGTCTTAATGTCTTAACTTTTCCTAATATAAGGCCTTACAATGTCTTAAAATCGGATTCGATGGGTCTTAAATATTTTTGGTCACATTACCGCTAAAGTATCTTAAGTCTGACGGACCTAATGACTGTTTACAATCATTGGACAGACCGAAGATTTTTTCTTCCCGGCGGTAAATTACTGCGTCATCAGAGAGAATTGCAGTAAATTAGCAGAATACAGAAAACAAGGTCGCGCTGAGCCTCACTCTGTTTGTCTCTTGAGAGTCTTCATAACAAATGAGCGTAACAGCACACATAAACTCAGAAGAAACACACTGAGGTAAAAATTCAAAATGTTTAGTTTATTCATAACATGATATAGTTAAGTAACACCATGACAAGTGAGCAGTCTATTAAAATACATTCAGAATGATCACAAATTCAAGACATGGGGGCAGAAAATGTGTATATTTATACCACTTCATATAGTTAATTTCACAGGAAGAGTGCCGTTTTTCTCCAAAAATTACCATATACAAATGTAATGTTTTTTTTTTACAACAGTTCAATAAACTAGATGTTTTATTAAGAGACTTACGTTTTAGACACCATATTGCCTGTTTTTGCGCTGTTTTGCGTCTTTGAGCAATATGATGGTGATTCGTTCCTGAATTAATCAACCATTTAAATGATTCGGTTCAATCGCAATGACTCGCTTATTAACAGTGACTTGCTGCCACCTACTGTCGGTTTTAATTTCACATTTAAAGTATCTTTTCATTTTTTAAATCATTTCAAATATCAGTATTTAATTTTTTTATGTTTAATATATCAAATTATTTATGCATTTGTAACCGCAGGTTAAATGCATTAAACAGTGTGTAAATACTTCTAAATGCCAATTCAGGTGCAGCTTATGTCTGGATTGCAAAGATGAATTTTGTTGAT